AGATCTAATGGATATGTACAAATGACTGATGCAGCACCAGATATTCCTCCTGCAATTAATTTATTTGTAGTTGTTAATTCTAAATCTCCTGGTTTTAATAAAAATGGCTTAATATATTGATAACATGCATATTGTACTGCACTATAAGGAAATACTCTTATACAATTAATCCCATTACCTCTAAATAAACCTTTAAAACCTTCCTCTTTCCATATTTTAATAACAGTCTTTATTACACCATCATTATATGAAGAATTTGCACCAGGTCCTTGAACTTGATATAATACTTTAACCCTTTCAAAAGGTGATACTGCAGTTCTTGAAAGACATCCAGCTATTCCTCCAGCTATAAATGAAGAAGTTGAATCCTTATAAATGAAATTGTTAAGTTTCCTCTTAGATATTCCAACAACTTCTGACATTTAAAAAAAAATCAAGTATTATTATCATTTATTATTTAATGGGAAAATTTAAATTAAAATAATATAAGAAAATAAAAAATTAACTGAAAAATTTTTGTGTGTTTTTCTTGTTTATTTTTTTTTCTTTGTTTACACCTAAAGTTATACAATTAATATATAAATTAATTAATTAATTAATTAATTAATTAATTAATTTTTTTTTGCTTTTTTCTTTTATATATATACAAATTAAATCTATGGTTTAAGATTTGGAGAAATCAATATCTTTATATGCAGATCTTTACTGGTAGCCAATTCTTTAAAGCCCTTTTCAATTGCATGTTCAAGTGGAACAATACTAGTAATTAATTGTCTCATCCTATCAATTGAGATATCTCCAGATTCAATTTTTTCAATAACTTTTTCAAAATCGGATATAGTTGAACCAATTGATCCAACAGCATATTTTTCTTGATAACTTAAATCCATAACTTTATGTAAAACTGGGACATCATGCCAAATTGCAACATTTACTGCGACCCCATGAGTTTTCAAAGCATGGATTGAAGTTTTAAAAGTTGCAGGATTCCCACAACAATCAAATGATGCAGAAAACCCACCTTGATTTGGAGGAGCTAAATTTTTCAATTTTTGAATTTTATCATCTCCATTAAAATCATCTGGATTAAAAACTTCAACACCCAATTTTGCAGCTTGTTCTCTTCTTATTGATGCAGGTTCAGAACAAACTATTTTACCAACTCTATGACCTTGTAAGGCTAAAATTGTTAATAAACCAATTGGTCCTCCGCCAATAACTAATGTATCACAACCTTCTTTAACTGTACTTGCCAATTCTATAGCATGCCATGCAATTGCCAAAGGTTCTATTAATGCAGCCACATCTAAGGGAATTTTATCCTTTGGTATTTTTAAAACATGATCTGCAGAATAATTTACATATTCACTTAATGCTCCATTTTCAACACCAAGACCACAAAAACTTAAATCTTTACAACAATTTGGATAACCTAAATAACAAGAACTACAATATGGATCATTTGAATTCTTATTAATTCCATTATAATGATTTTTCCTATCATGACAATGGCCAGTAGGTTCAACAACTACATGATCTCCAGGTTTAATTTTTTGTACATTAGAACCAACTTCTTGAACTATACCAGAAAATTCATGACCTAAAACTAGAGGTAATTTTTTACCAGAAATTTTATCACCTGTTTCTGAAGCAGCATTGGTGAAAAAATTTGGATGTTGATATTCATGTAAATCAGTACCGCATATACCGCAATATGCAACTTTTAACAAGACATCATCTTTCATTTTAGGTTTTTGTACTGGAATATTATTGGAAAATCGAATATCTTTTGCACCATAGTACAAGAGACCTCTCATTGTCTTGGGTATAACATTTTTAAACATTTTACAATTCCTAAACCAAAGAAACGGAGAAAAAAAAAATGAATAAAAAAAAAATTGAAAACAATTACAATTGTTAAATTGTTGAATTTTTCATTTTTTCAATCTTCCAAATTTTTTAATTAACATTTTATTGTTTGATTGCGGTTTATAAAAGTAAAAGCGGTAAAATTGCATTAAAACTTAAATTTTTGTTTTCTAAAAAAAAGAAAACTCTACGAAATACTCAAAAATTTTTAAATATTACTATTAAGTACTACAATTACCAATAATTTCTTTAACTATCCAAAGAGTACCTAGTCCATCAAATAATCAGTTTAATTTTATAAAACAAAAATACCGGTATAGATAGATAAGTTTGGTATTTATGCAATGACAAACGCTAACTATTTTGTAAAAATGCAGGCGAAACATAATAAAAAAAAACAACAACAAAGAAAACTTAACTCATCGATGAGTTTCCCAAAGAGGAAATGTGTTTTTCTCTTCTCTGTTATGCCCTGCTCTGCTCTGCTCCCGCCACAGCCCCTGACTTGTACTTGTACTTGTAATTTTTTTTTTTTGGCGCTCAAGCTGAAGCTTGAACATAAGCTTACGTTCAATATAATATAATAACGCCCCCTATCTGGTCTTTATCATAGATAATTAGGGTAAAGGGAAGAGAGCAATAAAACGAAAGGAAAAGAACGAATTGGTCAGTTTGTTTCCAGCCAGACAGGAAGGACCACCCAGACTATACGGAACCACTTTCCAAATTGCTTGCTTTATTTTATTACCCCTTTATAAAATATGATAACAACAACCGGTATTATGTACAAAAGGTAAAAGACGATGGAAGGAAGGAAGGAAGAATGGAAGGAAGGATGAACGGAAAAAGTTAAAGAGCAAAGTAAACCCGGAACTAGTCTAATTATCTATCCTCGGGGAAAGAAATTGTAGTGCATGAAGAGTTAAACAAAAAAAAAAAAAAAATAGGTGGTCGTGGAACACTCACCAAGAAAAAATATAAAATTTACCTGAACAACATGTGGTCTCTGCTATTCTTTTTTTGTGAATCATCAGTGTAAATGTCGGAACAATGGCTGCTTGGCAGCTTCTTACGTAATGCGTCTGTGCTTATCGAAATTCTTCTACCCCAGATTTCAATGGAAAAAGCTCCGATAGCCCATTACTGCTGTGAGTCACCAAAAATAAAGAAGAAGATGTACATATGTACATAAATAATCTGGTGTTAATTTTAATTTTAATTGATGAGGATGTAAATCAAAACGCAAGGGTATATAAACTCAGCCAAATCTCTTAAAATTTGAATTGAAAAATAAATATATATTCATAAAATATAATATAATAAAGTAAAAGGAATACTACCATTAATTTTTCATAATTATAATACAATATTCAATTTTTAAAAATGGTTGCAATTAAGAGTTTAGCTTCAATTAGAACAGTTTCAAACTGTTTTATAAGGATTAGTAATAAAAATCCTACATCTATGAGAGCATTTACTGCTTTTACAAATAATCCATTGTTGTATTCAGACATGTCTTATCAGAGACAAGAGACTGATTTTAATTATCACTTGAATAACGCAGTGGTCAATAATAATGGTGATGGACATACTAATACTGCAGGAAGTCAAGTTGTTATTGATAATGCACACTCAAAGTCGCATCCAAACACCAGCATAAATGAAAATTTTGAACCAGTTGTTTATAGTCCAGACACTGAAGTTCATACTATAGCTGGTACTGCTGTTCATAATGAATAAAAAAAATGGGAATTTTTTTTTTTCTTTCTTTCTTTTGTGGGGTAAATGAGCCATTTCAAATTTAGGTTTATCTTTTTTTTTTGGTTACTTTTAACATATATATATATATCTATAATATTCTTTCGTATTTACTATTTTTTTTTTTTTTGGGTAGCGCTATGATGAAGATTGCTGGTCATTATTCATTATTTGTCCGTGACACAATCGTCTTACATATATATATATATATACATTTTTTGTTTTATATTAGTATAGTGACATATGGATATATATACATATATATATATATTTGTTCATATAATATCATTACAATGTGAGGTGCAAAATTAAATTTTAAATGTAGATTACTTTTTTTTTTTCTATTTATTTAATTTAATCTACAAAACGTTATCAAATTTTTCATGCTTTACGTATCCACCTCTCATGGATTTATAAACATTTCTTTTAAATTCTTCTTTATCTAAATTTAAATCATTTGCAGCGTCTTTATTCAATGGATCATTTGCATTTGGTTCCAAAAATAAAAATTGTAATCCAATTAATACAGCATTTAAACTTAATACAGGTCTCCAATCTTCTCTTAAAATATTTAAACAAACATTACCTTCTAAATCTATATTTGGATGATATATTTTTGATAAACATTTAAATTTTGGTGGTTCAATTGGAAAATTATTATTTATTGAACAAGTAAATTTAAATTTCCCATTTTTATAAAAACCTTCATTAGGTAATATTAATAATTCAAAATTCATTAAATCATCGGGATTAGGGAAATTTAATTTAATAGTTGGAGGTAATGATAATTCTGTTATATCTTTTTGTACTCTAATCATTGCCGGGTATATTTTAGATCCATTGCCACCACTAATTCCATTACCACCCTTTTGTACCGTTGTATTAGCATTACTTGTTTCAGATTTATCAAATGTCGAAGAAGCTGATGATGAAGAAGAAGTTGTTAATGTTGATGATGCAGAATTTTCTTGTTCTTTTTTCAGTTTTTGAAGTTGACGTAATTTTAACTATATAATAAATAAATCAATTATACAAGTTAGTATATTTCAAACAAAAGATAATTTCCTCTTTAATAAGAACTTACCATTTTTTTTTTTAAAACGGTATCAATCTATCAAAAAAATCAACTTTAATACCTTTCCAATATACATATATATATATATAAAAGTTTTAATGATTTTATTATTATTAGTATTTCAAATCGTGCAATGAAGTTAACTATAATAATAATATAACGCACGTAATGTTAAGTAATAAAGTAGTAGTATTTTCCGAAAGTTTTTTAAGTAAAAAAAAAAAATTAAAAATTTGCTGAAAAAAATTGAGAAAAATTAAAAATTTAAGGAAAAAGTGAGAAAAAGTAACAAAAATGGTGAGGGATGCGGGATTCGAACCCGCGCATCGCAATGATACCACGGATCTTAAGTTTCGAAATCGTTTCTGGAAAAGTACTAAAAACGATTACTAGTTCCTAAACATGGCGCCTTAACCACTCGGCCAAACCCTCCAATAACAGTGGGCATGTGGAGCCTAGTTATTATTTGAGGTGCAAACTACTACAAATCACTATTTTCATTTAAATTGAAGTAAAAATTAAATGTTTGATCAACAATTTTAATAATTCTGAGAAAATCAATTGTTTGTGAATATACTAATCTTTTTTAAAAATCAACTTTTGGTCTTGTTGTATCTGTTTTAAATGGTTTTAAAAAATGATTAGATCATCTCTTATGTTTACAAAATGTGCGGCTCGAAGTTATTGTCTTTTACTTTAAAATCACCGAAATATTTCCTCTTTAGGCGGATAAAGGAAAGAATACAAAACTACAAGTACTAAAGAGTTGGTGTTGATTTATTGAAATTGATAATGATAACAATTATATATATATATAGAAAGATAATTTTTTTTTTTTTTGTTTTCACTTTTCATCAGAGGTTCTTAGTGTTATCGCTCACTTTATCGTCATTCGCTTTATTGTCATTCGTTTTTACGGTCCTTTATGAAAATTATTGCTTCAATCCACTTTATACTACTTTTTTCATTGTATTTAATTTCAGTCGAAAGTTGTGATTCTTGCAAAACTTCAACAGCTACAGTTTATTCCTCAACTCTAAGTGTGACAACTTCAACTCATGTCAATGTGGTTGTGATCCACAGAAGCAGCAGCAGCAGTAGTAGTAGTAGTAGTAATTACTTAGCTGCTACTAGCTCAGGTCCAATTTCAATCCCAAGCTCAAGCTCTGTTTCAAGCGCAATTTCAAGTTCAAGTTCAAGCATGAGTAGTGCTTTCCCTTCTTTAATTTCAAGTGTTGCTCCAGTTTTGTCAAGCACTTCACCATTACCTAGTTCGTCTTCTGTGCACTGTTCAGACGATAAATGTTCCACTTCTACGGCAACTGCTTATTCAACAATTAGTTCAGTGACAACTTCAACAAACACCAACATAATTGTGATTTCTCACTCAAAACTAGCATCAAGTATTTCAAGTAAGTTAACTTCTTTAAGTGCCTACACTACTTCTTCTAATTTACAACCTCAACCAATTACCACATACCTTTCAAGTACTTCAAGTTTTAATATCAATAGCTACCCTACAACAAGTATCGGAAATATTGAAAATTTTTCATCATCTAGTTCAGCAATCATTACAACAGTGGAAATCTCAGAAGTTACACTTACAACTACAGTACCATGCTCGAATTCAGCTTATTCAAAAGAATCAAGTATTGATTATACCACAATTACATCCACTTTCTTAGAGTCTCAAACTCCTATAGCTACAACTAGCCCAAGCACCTCAACCAGATCCACAGTGGTACCTAGCTCAGCTTCTAGTGTTTTGACACAAAAAGTTTTTTCAGCTTCAGATATTGCAGCCAAATCAACATTTACAAGTACAAGTGGTGCAGTTGGTACTAGCTCTAACAGTAGTTATACCAGTTCAACTAGTTCTAGTATATACATCTATGAAGGAGAAGCTTCCAAATTCTCCAGTTCTCCCTTATTCTTCAACTTACTCTTTTTTTTCACTTCTCTTTTCTTAATTTGAATCTCTTTGTATAGATCAACTGATAAGCGTTTCTCTGCAGTAAGCAGGCATAAAAGAACAAAAAAAAATTTTTTTNTT